TCCTAAGAGTTGGTTATGTTACAGAATTTCAGTACAGTCATGAATGGCAAATCTTCACATTTTATTCCTCATTTTTGATATTAAAGATATGATCAGTAGAACATCCCTGTTGTCTCAGTGTGTGGGTGCACCCCTCGCGGTCCTGAGTTCCTTGCTCGTCCTCTCTCTCCTTCTGCTCCTGATTTAGACCTTGGGATTTCAGTCTGATGCTCCAATGTGGGTCTCTGTCTCTGTTTCCTTTCATCGCCTGATGAAGGTTAATATCCAGGAGGATGACTATATGTTTTTCTTTGGGTTCACCTTCTTATTTAGCTTCTCTAGGATCATGAATTATAGGCTCAACGTCCTTTATTTATGGCTAGAAACCAAATATGAGTGAGTACATCCTATGTTCCTCTTTTTGGGTCTGGCTTACCTCACTCAGGATAATGTTTTCTATTTCCGACCATTTGCATGCAAAATTCAAGAAGTCATTGTTTTTTACTGCTGAGTAGTACTCTAATATGTATATATTCCAGCTGGCCTGGGTCTGAAAAAGCCTGGGATAAAACCAGACTCTCTGAACATAGCGGACAATGAGGACTGCTGAGAAGTCAAGAACAATGGCACTGGGTTTTGATCCTACTGCACGTACTGGCTTTGTGGGAGCCTAGGCTGTTTGGATGCTCACCTTACTAAACCTGCAAGGAGGTGGGAGGTCCTTGGACTCCCCACAGGGCAGGGAACCCTGACTGCTCTTTGGGCTGATGAGGGAGGGGGAGTTGATTGGGGGAGGGAGAAGGAAATGGGAGGTGGTGGCAGGGACGAGGCAGAAATCTTTAATAAATAAATAAAAAAAAAGATATGATCAGGTGGGCTTAGGGATCTAAATTTTTTTACATTGTTTTGGTTATGTTTTGCTTTTGACTTAACACTGACTTAATCAAATATGTGCTCCTTGCCTCCATGCTTAATGAGACAATTTGAAGTCTGAAAGAATTCTCCTCTAACAGTATAGTTAAATAGCAGCTTTGTCCATAGTTTCCTTTATTATTGATTTGTTTGGTGACAATTTGAAACGTATTAATTAGATTTTCAAACATATAAGCATGAAAAGGGAAAATGCCTTATATGAAGAAAATAACCTTACTGGGAATTGAAGATGAGTGGAATTCCCTGTAAGTAATAATTTATAGCTTATATTTATACTTCTTTTAGCACTATGGTTTTTCTTTAAAATTTTCTTCTTTTCCCTACAGATTTTTTTCATAAAATATGTTAAATATGTTTTGTACATTGTGGTTTCTGACATGAAAAGTTTTTAAATGAACTTTTGCTTTTCTTAGAATAGAGACTGTGGAATAGTACATTTTATTCCCCTAGTATCATAAATAGGTTGTTTATGGGTCTCTATTTGGTTTTCCTTGTCTATCTTTTAAATGAATTCCTCAAAAATAAATATAAATTCAATTATGGTGTACCTGAGGAAAGTAGGGGAGGAGCTGTAGGCATGACGAGCTTTTCTGCTCCTGTTTGTGTATGTGAGAAAGAAAATGGAGCATCTGTCAGTTCTAATGTGTTGTGTGAGTTCTAAGATGAGTAAATTGGCAGGGTGTGAGAGGAGAGGATTGTTTATTTGTCCTGGATTGATCCTGGATTATTTGCTTACAACAGCTGAAGAGCTGAAAAGCCAGGCTGAACTAGTGTCCAAGGACTAGGTCTCTTGATCTGGTGACCAGGGTTCTCTCCTCCTGGAACTTGTGCATCAAAGGTGTGTGCATTTGCGAGATTTTCTCAGCCTATACTATACCTTTGCCTCTGTCATGTGAGAGAAAATCTGTAGCTTTAAAGAAATATGGATCTATGTGTGTTGATACAGACTAGTCATCCTAGCACGGAGGCAGGAGGATCCACAGTTCTAGGCCAAATTGGGTTATGAAGAGTGTCCCCGTTTTATCAACAAAATGACACCTTGTCTCAGAAAAGACAGAGATAGAGGAGAAAGAAGAGAGAGGCAGAGAGACAGAAACAGGGAGAAAGAGTCATAGACAGAGAAGAAAGGGTGAGGGGCAAAAGAGAAAAGAAGGGACAAGCTCTGTAGTGAAATATATCAGTTTGATATATAATATTAATGTGCATTAATAATTATATTTAAAAAGAAGATCCATTGAATGAACACTGACAACAGACTAAGGAGTTCCAAGGAAAGTCTTTCCACATTTTTTATGTTTACTTACCCTGGAGCAGAGACAGTCCATGGCAGAATTCCATTTTTCTCAAGGCTGCCCTTCTACCCTGTTCCCCAGTGACCCACCTGTTTTGAGAACTGGAAGACCTTATTTCAATTCCTTGGTAACTGAGTATTTTTAGGAAAGGGAGTTATACAGCTTTTTAAAAAATATTTCACAATTATTTCTATTTATTATATTTGATAATAACTCACACCAAAATTTGCAATATATTGTTAGCAGTTTTTATTAGCTTCAGAACTGACAAACATTTTTTTTCTCAATTGCATTTCTTGTGGGTTTTATCTATGACCCTTGTCTTAGTTTCTGAGAAGACATGATAGGTGTTTTCACAAGAAGTCACTGCTTTTTTCTTTCATATGAACCCTAATGATCGAAACATCTGTGAACACTTGTTGTCTGAATGACAAGTTGACCTCTCTCTCATGAAGAATTTCTCAAAGTAAGTCAACCAGAGCAGATTTACATCAGGATTATTTACTGGATGACTTTCAACATCAATAACGTACAAAAAAACCATTGCATTTTAAAAAGACAGTCACAATGTGTAATATTTCACGGGTCATTTTGAATCCAATAACTTTAGTGCTTTCTATGAAGCACTAAAGCAGGTGAAAAACAAGTTATCAGAATAGACTCTGAAAAATATTGTTTTGACAGCATCCTTTTGCCTAACTATAGGTAAGGCAGTTAGAAGGAATGAATAGGTCTTTAGCACATTAATTAGCCTTGCAGAAGTAATCATGAAAGCAATCCCTCCCTTTTTTCCTTCTCTTTTTTTCTTTGTTTCCTAGCAAACACTTATGCCTTGCATGGTGTATGGAAGGATTTGTTTGATTCATCATCCTCCCTCTGTACAGAAGGAACTCTGAGAGGAAGAAATGCATTTACCTGTATTTTACAAAAACCATGAGATAACTGTATGAATGCATTAAGGGATTGGGAGTGCAGACATGAGAGCCTTTCTTTAATCCCAGTAATTGGGAAGCAGAAGCAGACAGATCTCTCTGAGTTTGAGTCCAGCCTGGTATACATAGTGAGTTCCAGGTCAGCCAGGGCTACATAGTGAGACCCTGTTTCAAAACAAAGCGCAATAAAACAAAACAAACTACAAAACAAAACAAAAAAGAATGAATTAAAAGCACTGTTTAAAAAAAATCCCATTGTCCTACAAGCAAACTCTTAGACCAGCAGTTTTAAAGAATGCTCTTGTAACATAAAGATCCATTGAGAATCATGGTATGATGCTGTAATTTTATAAGCTTGCCAAATTTACAGTCAATTGCTTATTTATTTAGATATTAAAGACTTGCTTTATTTTTACATCCCAGCTGCAGTTTCCCCTCCCTTCTCTCCTTCCAGTCCCTCCACACTCACTCCTCTGCGGTTCACACCCCCAATCCACTCCTCCCCAGTCTCTGTTTAGAAAAGGACATGTCTCCAATGAGTCTCAACAAAACATGGGATGCCAAGTCGCAGTAAGACTAAGCACCCCACCATATATTAAGGCTTGGCAAGGCTATCTGGTATGTGTAGTAGAATCTCAAAAGCCAGTAAAAGAATGAAAAACAGCCTCTGCTTCCAAGGATTGGTATCCCAGAAGAGGACCAAGCATCATAACCATAACATACATGCAGAGGTCCTAGGTCAGTCTCATGCAGGCTTCCTGGCTGACAGATTAGTCTCTGTGAGCCAACTAAGAGCACAGGTTAGTTAATTCTGTGAGTTTTCTTGTGGTGTCCTTGACCCATCTGGCTCCTACAATTTTTTCTTCCCCTCTTCTTCATGATTACCTGAGCTCTGACTAATGTTTGGCTGTGGATCTGCATGTGTTTCTGTTTTCATCAGTTGCTGGATGAAGCCTCTCTGATGCCAATTGAGCTAAGTACCCATTTGGTCACAGAAGATGGTCAATTGAGGCTACGTATCTGCTATTGCTAGGAGTCTTAGCTGGGGTCATCGTTGGTGCCTGTGAGATTCCCTTGCATCAGGTTTTTACCTGGCTCTAAATTGCCGCCCCCCCCATTTCTAGTAGTCTCTTCCATCATTTTTCTCTAACTGCCCCCCAACCTGAGTGCTCATTGTCCCATCCTAATGTACCTTCAGTTCACTCACAAAATCTCTTCTTCTTCCCCTTCCCAGGGAGACCCAGGCATTCCCTCATGAACCTTCCTTGTCACCTAGTCTCTCTGGGTCTGTGGATTGTAGCATAGTTACAGCTAATAACCACTTATGAGTGAGTACATACCATGTGTGTTTTTATTGGTCTGGGTTACCTCATTGATAAATTTTTTTCTAGTTCCATCTATTTGCCTGCAAATGTCCCTGCATCCTCATTTTTAACAGTTGAGTTAATGTACCACATTTTTTTTTCCATTTCTCAGCTGAGAAACTTCACTTACAGTTTCTGGCTATTACAAATAAAGCTTCTCTAAACAGAGTTGAGCAAGTTTCCTCGTGATATGATTGAGATTCCTTTGGGTCTATGCCCAGAGGGGTATAGCAGGGTCTTGTGGTAGATTGAGTCCCAGTTTCCTAGTAGCCACACTGACTTCCAAAGTGGCTGTGCAAGCTTTCCCTCCCACCAGCAGTGGAGGACTGTTCCCCTGGCTCCATATCTTCTCGAGCATGAGCTGTCACTTGTGTTTTTTTTTTATTTTAGCCATTCTGACATGTATAAAATAGAATCTCAAAATTGTTTTATTTTTTATTTACCTAATGTCTAATATCTCCTTAAGTATTTCTGGGTCATTTGAAATTCTTTTTTTAAAGGACTTATTTTGTATGTGTGCAAGTTGGTGAGTTTATATGAACCACAAGCATGCATATGCCTGCAGAAGCCAGAAGAAGATGCCACATTCCCTGGAGATGGTGTTAAAGTAAGTTATAAGCCACTAGGCATGTATGATTGGGACTGAATCAAAGTCCTCTGCAAGACCTGATGGGACAAATGTCCTCTTATGTGAAAACCATAAAATTTTTAATGTTGTTGTGGAATATCTGTTTAATTGTGTAAAGATGTGTTGCTGTTACACCTGCCTGCCTACATTTTTTGACTGGTCTAATAAAGAATTGAATGGTCAATAGCTACTATGAGAAAGGATAGATGGGGCTGGCAGGCAGAGAGATACATAGGAGAAGAGAAAAAAATGAGAAAGGAAGAAAGAAGAGAATGAGAAAGTAGGGCCAGAAACCAGGCATCTGCCATCCAGTTAAACACTGGAAAAGAGGAAAGAAAGACATACAGAAAGAAAAGTAAAAAGACCTAAAGCAAAAGGTAGATAAAGAGAAACAGGTTGATTTAAGTTAAAGAAAAAGGCTAGGCAGAAATGAACCTATGGTAGCCAGAACATTCATAAGCAATGGGAAGTCTCCATATCATGACTTGGGAGTTGGTTGGTGGACCAAAAAAGAAAGCCAGGTACAAATCTTAGCTCTTAATTCAATAATGTTGAGAGATAATTAGGCCATGAAGGCTCTGTACTCATGAAATTCATTTAATCATTACAAGAGTAGGTTTGTCGTCATAGGTAGGTTCCCTAGAATTGTATATGCCCAGCTTCTTTTCTTACCTAAAAGTACAGTCTTTTGCCCTGATCACTTACTTCTATCACAGAATATCCTGGAAGAGGGGACAGAATAATTGAAAAGCCAGATGACCAGGATGTCTACTGCTAGATAGTGTCATATAGACAGGACAGGGAAGCTGCACCCATAAAATCTCAACATCATGGCCGACCAAACAAGACTTGCATAATGGTAGTATCATTCCACAAAGCCATCAAGGTTAGGGGGAATTTCACAAGGTTTTACCCCTGATGAGTATATAAAAACAATCAATGACTGCTTAAAGAGGAAGAATTGGTTTTTCCTATGGATGAACTTCCTGGTAAGTTATCCAGTTTCAAGTGATCAGCCAGGAACACAAGTATATAAGAATGACTCTAACTGAGCTAAGTTGTGTGTGTGTAACAGTTATAATTATACAAAAAGATGTCATAAATTTGAGGAGTTAAAGCAGACATTGGAGGAATTAGAAGTTGAGGGGGTTACATGATGTAAATATAGTAGTCATGTAAAAAATGATTAAAATTATTTTAAAAAGAAGAGGTCACTGGGCAGCGGTGGCGCACACCTTTAATTCCAGCACTTGAGAGGCAAAGGTAGGCAGATATCTGTGAGTTTGAGGCCAGCCTAGTCTACAAGAGCTAGTTCCAGGACAGGCTCCAAAAGCTACAGAGAAACCCTGTCTCAAAAAACCAATAAATAAATAAATAAATAAATAAAGGTCTATACTGCCAGAAGTCTGATTAAAGGGAATTCTGGCAGTGTCTTAGAAGAGAAGAAGGGCCACAAGGAAAGCCTAAATTTTCTTAGGCATTATGTAATTCTGGGAGAAATATAAACAATGATACTAATTTTGATCCTACTAGCCAGAAATGGGGAAAAGGTATTGGAAACTTCTATAAAAGCCATCCTTATTATAGAGTAGCAAAGAACTTGGCTTTATTATGCCCGTGCTTGAAGGCTTTGTAGAAGTTTAAGATCAGTGAGCCTGAAACAGTTTTCTGCTCCTACACTAAGGCGACCCACCCAGAGCGGTGAGTGCCTGCCTACCGGGCAGGCCTCAAGGACTCCCGAAAGGGAGCCCAGGCACTTTCAGCTTGTGCTCCAGGGGTGCCTGTGCACTCCTGGATCTCGTCCCGCCTGCCCAGTTTCTTCCTTTTGTCCCTGGATCATCGGGCTACCAGGTGGCCCTGTTTAGTCGCTAAGAATTAGAAGCTGTTATCAAAAACCTCCCTACCAAAAAAAGCCCAGGACCAGATGGTTTCAATGCGGAATTCTACCAGAACTTCTAAGAAGACCTAATACCTATACTCCTTAATGTATTTCACAATATAGAAACAGAAGAATCATTGCCAAATTCCTTTTATGAAGCTACAGTCACTCTGATACCAAAACCACACAAAGACTCAACCAAGAAAGAGAATTACAGGCCAATCTCACTCATGAATATCGATGCAAAAATCCTCAACAAAATAGTGGCAAACCGTATCCAAGAAGACATTAGGAAAATTATCCATTATGATCAAGTAGGCTTCATCCCAGAGATGCAGGGCTGGTTCAACATACGAAAATCTATCAATGTAATCCATCATATAAATAAACTGAAAGAAAAAAACCATATGATCATTTCATTAGATGCTGAAAAAGCATTTGACAAAATCCAACATCCCTTTATGATAAAAGTGTTGGAGAGATTAGGGATACAAGGGTCATACCTAAATATAATAAAAGCTATATACAGCAAGGCGACAGCTAACATCAAATTAAACGGAGAGAAACTCAAAGCCATCCCACTAAACTCAGGAACATGACAAGGCTGTCCACTCTCACCATACCTCTTCAATATAGTGCTTGAAGTTCTAGCAATAGCAATAAGACAACATAAGGGGATCAAGGGGATTCGAACTGGAAAGGAAGAAGTTAAGCTTTCATTATTTGCAGATGATATGATAGTGAACATAAGCGACCCCCAAAACTCCACCAAAGAACTTTTACAGCTGATAAACACCTTTTGTAATGTGGCAGGATACAAGATCAACTCTAAAAAATCAGTAGCCCTCTTATACACAAAGGATATGGAAGCAGAAAGGGAAATCAGAGAAGCTTCACCTTTCACGATAGCCACAAACAGCATAAAATATCTTGGGGTAACTCTAACCAAGGAAGCGAAAGATCTATTTGACAAGAACTTTAAGGCATAGAAGAAAGAAATTGAAGAGGATACCAGAAAATGGAAGGACCTCTCCTGCTCTTGGATTGGGAGGATCAACATAGTATAAATAGCAATTCTACCAAAGGCAATTTATAGATTCAATGCAATCCCCATCAAGGTCCCATCAAAATTCTTCACAGATCTTGAGAGGACAATAATCAACTTTATATGGAAAAACAAAAACCCAGGATAGCCAAAACAATCCTATACAATAAAGGATCTTCTGGAGGCAATACCACCCCTGACTTCAAACTCTATTACAGAGCTACAGTAATGAAAACAGTGTGGTACTGGCATAAAAACAGAGAAGTCGACCAATGGAATCATATAGAAGACCCGGATTTTAACCCACAAACCTGTGAACACCTCATTTTCGATAAAGGAGCTAAAAGTATACAATGGAAGAAAGAAAGCATCTTTAACAAATGGTGCTGGCACAACTGGATGTCAACCTGTAGAAGAATGAAAATAGACCCATATCTATCACCATGCACAAAACTCAAGTCCAAATGGATTAAAGACCTCAATATCAGTCAAAACACACTGAACCTGATAGAAGAGAAAGTGGGAAGTATCCTACAACAGATGGGCACAGGAGATCGCTTCCTAGGTATAACCCCAGAAGCACAGACATTAAGGGCAACATTGAATAAATGGGACCTACTAAAACTGAGAAGCTTTTGTAAAGCAAAGGACACTGTCACTAAGACAAAAAGACACCCTACTGACTGGGAGAAGATCTTTGCCAAACCAGCAACAGACAAAGGTCTGATCTCCAAAATATATAGAGAACTCAAGAAACTAGACTTTAAAATGCTAATTAACCCAATTAAAAAATGGGGCACTGAACTGAACAGAGAATTCTCAACAGAAGAAGTTCAAATAGCTAAAAGACACTTAAGGTCATGTTCAACCTCCTTAGCAATCAGGGAAATGCAAATCAAAACAACTTTGAGATATCATCTTACACCTGTCAGAATGGCTAAAATAAAAAACACCAATGATAGCCTTTGCTGGAGAGGGTGTGGAGGAAGGGGTACCCTCATCCATTGCTGGTGGGAATGCAATCTTGTGTAATCACTTTGGAAATCGGTGTTTCGGTTTCTCAGGAAATTCGGGATCAACCTACCCCTGGACCCAGCCATACCACTCTTGGGAATATACCCAAGAGATGCCCGATCATATGACAAAAGCATTTGTTCAACTATGTTCATAGCAGTATTATTTGTAAAAGCCAGATCCTGGAAACAACCTAGATGCCCTTCAATGGAAGAAGGGATGAAGAAAGTGTGGAATATATACACAGTAGAGTACTACGCTGTAGTAAAAAACAATGACTTCTCGAATTTTGCATGCAAATGGATGAAAATAAAAACACTATCCTGAGTGAAGTAACCCAGACCCAAAAAGATGAACATGGGATGTACTCACTCATCATTGGTTTCTAGCCATAAATAAGGGTCACGGAGACTACAATTGGTGAACCTAAAGAAGCTAAATAAAAAGGTGAACCCAAGGAAAAACATGTAGTTATCCTCTTGCCTATGGGAAGTAGACAAAATTGCCGGGAGGAAAGTGGGATCTTGGGGGTGGGGTGGGTTGGGGGTAAGGGGAGATGGGGAGAGAAAAGTTAGAAGGGGAGGATGGGGGGGGGAACTTGGGGAAACAGGATGACTGGGATAAAGGAAGGCTGGATAGGGGAGCACGGAAGCACAATTCTTAGTTAAGGGAGCCACCTTAGGTTTGGCAAGAGACTTGAACCTAGATTGGCTCCCAGGAGCCCAAGGTGATGTCCTCAGTTAGTTCCTTGGGCAGATGAGGATAGGGAACCTGAAACGACCCTATCCTATAGCAATACTGATGAATATCTTGCATATCACCATAGAACCTTCATCTGGTGATGGATGGAGATAGAGACAGAGACCCACACTGGAGCACTGGACTGAGCTCCCAAGGTTCCAATGAGGAGGGGAAGGAGGGAGAAGATGAGCAAGGAAGTCAAGACCATGAGGGTTGCACCCACCCACTGAGACAGTGGGGCTGATCTATTGGGAGCTCACCAAGGCCAACTGGACTGTGACTAAAAAAGCATGGGATAAA